ATCTGCTGATTTCATTGTTCTTTATTCTTACTGTGGCAGTGTTATTTCATCTTGCTTATCTCAGATCCTGGGCGATGTAGCCTTCACCAGTCTGCAGTACGGGGGAGACAGCGTGCTATATGTAGGTACCAACACTGGAATACTTTCAGCTTGGGATACCAGGCACAACTCATGCTTCATGCACTGGGATGCTGACTCAGCAGAAATAGGTACGTCCAAGAGACAATTCAAATTGTCTTGAGACACATTTCAAGAGTTCTGATAGTCTCCGTGTAGAGGACTTATTGAGTTTTTCTTTGTTTACTTTCTATGTGTCTTCGTATGTCAAGTTTCTTAAGCAAAAATAAAATATTTTATGGAGCCCATATATAAAGCTTATCATTTTGTTTGCTAAGTACCTAGCATGAATAATTATTTGTTGTGCATAACCTTGAATAGCTTTGTTTATTTAACTGTTCTCGTGGCCTCCTTTTGTGGCAGTTCTTACACAAATCTATCTTTATGCAAAATCTTTCAAATACTGCAAGTGCATTTGACAAATAAAGCCAAATAATGCACTTGTATTTTTTAAAGATGTTGAGAGTTGTTGCACCCAATGCTCTATTGAAAGGTACACATTCAGGCAAAGTGCGAGGAGATTGCTTCTCATGACTGTAGAGACAACAAGGCATGCATTACTCTCATTGGTTAAGTCTCTCCCCAAACAAGAGCATAATTAAGGTATGAATTTCCTGCCCTGTCATGCAGGGTTGATAGTGAGTCGGTTTGGCAGCAGTCGTCTGATCACTGGTGGGGCCTCACGGATGCTTCGGCTGTGGTCTGTGTACGGTGTCGGGGAACTCCGACTGGCTGCTGGGGTGTCCAACGGGTAAGTCAAATTCTGTTACCTGTTAGTCCATCTTAGTCGTTTATCAAGTTTTCGACAAACATTACAGTGATGGATTGAGAGCTGAAGTGAAAGCAGTCCTTCCCGAGCCAGTTTTCATGTTTGGAAATATTATTTCACTCTTTAATGGGAATACCTTAAAGGTCTAATGAAACCTTTGTGCAAAGTTTTAATCGAGTTTACAAGTCCAATCACAAGGAGCGTCATAGGTAATGTGATAAGAGAAATGTCTTTGTCACAGTTCATGTGACATGTGAGTGGTCATTAACTAGACAGGTTACTGGAGACTTGCGATGTGTGACTTGTAACGATTTGTTGTGTCGTTTGAGCAACTTGAAAAAAAAACCAAACGGATTGGCTGTGCTGATATTTATGTCTGCCCTTTCCCCCTGCTGCACAGTCATGTCGGCCAGGGTCTTGTCATGGAGGATGAGATGTCATTAGACGGCACTGTAACGGCGGCAGAGTTCGACGACACCATGGACATCGGTGTGGTAGGCACCACGTCTGGTACCCTGTGGTACATCAACTGGGTGGAGCGGAGTTGCATCAGGATAGTCAGTTCCCACATCGGCAAGGTTTGTAGGCTGCGATCAGATGCAATGTTTGCGTTGATGGGCTGCAGCTCATGAATTAGAAGCTGTTTCTGTACGCGCGAGATGGCCCGTCTCGGGTCCGTTTTGCGGAAACCTGTCAGCAATTGTTGGAAACGGTGCTACAAAAGAAAAATCCCACTGACGTTATGGCCTTGGTGCACTGATACTTACATGCATGAGGCTGTCGCTTTTGGTACGTCTCATTAAACCTTACCCTGCTTTGTGCAAAAAGGTCAAAAGATATGCTGATCTGTAGGATGTCATTTCATTGGGCGGTGACATTCATTTATTTATCCTTTCATTTCTTAAATCAATTATTTTTTACTTCAACTTGTACTATGCCGTTGATCATTTTTATGGAAACAGTGCATTATAAATTTTCAGTTATTATTAATATCATTATTGAGTTACCAAGCACAAATGTGCATTACGAGATAAGGGGAGCCAGCCCCACTGGATACTGTCAGAGTTGAATCCTATGATGTGAGAGTCGACTTATTGGATCTTGATGTACATATTAGGCTTCTCAATTTTAAACTGTTGTATAGAGTTGCTTTGAGTAGGGTTTCTAATTGGTATACAGTGGAAGGTTTGGTCAATTATAGATATGAAGTCCTGATATTCATTAATTGCCCAACTTTGGTGCCTCAGGTGTTGACTGATCATGACAAGTACAACCTGGGCCCACTTTCATGGAGCTGCTTAAAAGTTAGCAAAAAAGTCATGCTGACGTTAGCAGAAAATTTTGATAACCCAAAGCAGTATTTCATGGCGGTGCTTGGTGAGGTAGTGCAACGGGTTGCATGCACATAGGGATTCTGTTGTCACATTGCTAAGTTTCAGCAAATTTTTCCTGTGCTTACTGCTTACGGTCTCCATGAAATATGTGGAGCCTCTGTTAGCCTGAAATCGTGTGCTAAGCAATGCCGTGAAATTGGGCCCTGTAATTAGGTCCTCTGTTAGTGATAAGCATATATATATTTTATTGTTATTTTCATTGTTTTTACTTTACTTTAATACTCTGCTGTTATTGTCGTGTAACGTTATAGTTGTAAACCGATGAGCAATGAAATTTCATTTATGGAGTAGTAAAGTTTTGAATGGAATTGATTCATCTTGAAACTGTTCTTTGAGGACCCCAGCTTGATGTCATTTGTTTCCTTAGGTGAATTCCATTGTTTTTAGTGCCTCTGATTACTTCGCCTCATGTGACGATGACGGCAGCCTTCGTCTCTACACATTGACAGACTTGGAACAGACTCTACAATTCCAAGTCCTGGATCAGGTATTGGAAATCTTTTTAATCTGACTTAATGCTCAGAAGTAATTTCCCGGAAAGTCCTGACAGCTTAACAAATGGAAAGTCCTGACAGTTTAACAAATGTTTAGATGTTGATGATTGATGACATAATTTCCCAGGATCTGACAGTGAATATTGTCCATCTTGCTATTGTAGTCACAAATGAACATCAGAGCTAGAGACACTGTTTAGTATTCAATGGCTGAATGTGGGATCAGGCATTTTTGGAAGGACTGTATGGCACCTGACATGGACTTTGGGTGTCTTTTTTCCCTTGAGTTCTGCTTTTCATTGGATGCATCTGTTGGTCAAAAACAAATCTTAAATTCATCATTCGAAAAGCTATCAAGCAGAGAAATTTCACAATCCAATTCTACAGTTGTAGCGATGTGATGTGGATCTAAGTTTAGCCATCGAACTTGACCGACCATGTCAGACTTGAATCGATTCCAGGCTTGGTAGACCAGTCTGTATATAGTTTTTAGTACAGTTTTCAATGTGTTCTTCTTTTTGAATCTGGGCAGAGCTGCCATTGCATGGCCTTCAGCCCTAATCCGGTGCCGACCAGTTCCAGCCAGGTTGTTCCAGCTGAGAAGGAAGGCCAGGCGCTGCAGCGAGTGGTAGCTGGCTACAGTGACGGGACGGTGCGTATCTTTGACCTGGATCTGGTGGAGATGGTTCTTAAGATGCAGCCGCACGGCGTGGCAGTCACCGTCATCAGCTTCTCTTCTGATGGTCAGTTGCCATCCTCATCTGTATTTCCTGTCTGGCGCTCTCATTGTCAGAGGAAAACGGCTAGTCAAATTGTTTTAAAAATCAAAATCTGTCTTAAAATTACTTGCTACAAGTTGTAGGAGATTGCTACATATGTAGTATTAGTGGGGCACTTTTAACTACCATCTTGCATGAGCTTTTTGTTTATATTTCTGCAAGCGTAAGGAGCAATCAGTGCAAAGAATATGGCCAGGGAAATTATTGTTGCACTTTTTCGGAAGTGTAGTGCATGACACAGGTTTTGAAGAGTCTGTTAGTAAGAGAATTTTTTTGGGGGGTTCAATTTTAGTGGCAGAGTCTTTGACTTTGACAAGGTGTTTGGTAACAATTAATACTTTGCTACTGAGGTTTAGTGGAGCCTTTTCTGACTTCACAGGTCACGTTGTCCTGTCTGGTGGCACAGATGGTATCATAGCGGTCAGTTCTCCAACCACAGGAATGACCATGAGAGTCATTAATGACCACAGGGGAGCACCGATAACTGACATGCATGTTACTAGCAACCAGGTATGTCACACTACCTACTATTTTTAATTTGCTGTGTTTAAATGAAAAACTAGTCATCAACCATTTCCTGCCGGGGCAGTTATCAAAGTTGATAATGCTGGGGTGGGATATTTATCATTTTTTTATGTTTGCAAAATTCTTTAAAAATCATCTTCATTTACTGCCTGCTTACTCTAGCCTGACAGACAAAATCTATTGACGCCTGCCTGAGTATTTCGGCCAGGCCTGCAGCCTTGTAAAAAGAGCCCAGATTTTACGGTGTTATATAACTTTCTTTTGTTCACGAATCTGGCTCAGTGCACTGCTGACCTCTTTTCAATAGGGGCCACTTCAGCATGCAGCGGTGCTGTGTGGCTCATCGCTGCGGTGGTGGAGCACTTTTGTCCCTGGTTATAATCCGCTTGCTCTAAATGCCCCAAACCGTGGTACATTTATAATGTTTCAAAGGCTGGATTATCTCCACTTTTGAGAGTGAAAAAATGTCAGTAATTTCCAGCAGC